TGAAAGGCACCGCTATCCATTCGAGACATTTCCAACAAAATAAGGAGGCACTCACAGTTTTGACAAATAAAAATTATTCAGCTGTGTCACGAACCCCAGCAACGATTTACACTTACATCTTTGTCACCATCAGTCATTTTTAGCACGGGATTCTCTCTGGTTTAAGGTGATTTTAAAAAAAAAACTCCAAAAAAACATGTCGTTTGGCTTTTAACCACCTCATTACATTTTGTCAACTTCTGGAGAAGATCCAGTCCCTGCTGAATCAAACTGGGCGCTTGTCTCCTGTTAGGGAAACATTACTCCTGATTTTCAGTCTCAAACCTGAGAACAAAGCAGAGTGATATTCTTCAAGGTCAGGCGTGAACTGAGAGGAAATTAATGACAACTCTGACGGGGCGAGAGAAGCCTTGGATGCTTCTCTGTTTGGCTCTTTATTACAGAAACTTTATTTTCCATCCATCCCTGCACATCCCGTCTGCGTTACCGTCGACCCGCTCGGCAGCCGAGCCGGTGAGAAGCCGGAGAGAGGAATCCTGTCAGAATTATGGATCGGGGCCCACAGCGGGACACGCAGTTGCACCACAGCGTGTTTCTGATGCAGGAAGCTCCTCTAAGTGAAACCTTGGGATGAAGATTAGCTTGGAAACAAATCACAGCGTGTCCGCCCTGCGGGTGGTGTCTAATGGGAGAAATGATTCAACCTGGATGCTGCGTAATTCGATCCCATGCTGTGAGGCGCACGTTTCCGTTACTCAATCCCACAAAAATTTCACAGTGAACAAGTAATAGCGTGACACGGCATGATCACATAGATCTTCATCTTTTCAAACCCCTATCCCCATTTTCAGTTACATTTAGACCCCACCTTCTTTTTTCATTGTTGCACAGATGCATCTGTAGCAGGCGTACCTGGTATTGTAACCGGCCCCCTGGCTGTCTGTCAGCACATGAAGGCATCAGTCACAACTATTTGGCTATGCAGCACATAATTCAGAGCTCCGTTATACAGACGTCCACCGAGTCCAGTCATCCATCAGACTGCTTTTTGCCAAGTCAACAGATTCTCATGGTGGTGGGCGGTCAGGGAAAAGGCCTCTCAGGTTGTGTTTCAGCTTTCGCTGTGTGTGTGTGTTTGGGTTTTCGCTGGGTGTAAAGTATAGCTCTTTACGGCAGCAGTAAACTATGTCACAGACCAATATAGCCATCTATTCCTGCAGGACTCCTGATTGTTCCAACATGGGAAATCTCAGCTTTGTTCAATTAAGATTAAGCCTCCGCTAAGGAGGTCGTGGTTTTTGGTTTGCGTACATGCAAGTCATTCTGCCTGTATACACGATAGCTCCTAAACTTTTGAACAAATTGCATGAAATCTTTGTAGGGGTGTAGAGTGAGCTTATGTTCACAGTCCATTACAAGTTAGCTTAAATTCAACAAGGTATACAAGGTCAACTTATTGATTTATTGGTTAAAAATTGGCAACAAGCATTATAGCTTAGACACTATGATTGAAGAAGTGTGGTGTGTGCTGTCCATATATGGAAAGTACCATATATCATGCCGCATTTGACCTCTGACCTCTCTTTAAGGGCAACAGATATAGTTGAAGGTCAAATTGATTAAAAAGTCCTATAGGAGTATAAAAAAAAAAAGAGCAAATAACAAAACCCTACACATTGCTTTAGTTTTTAACTACACTAAAAACATCTTGGAGCACAAAGAAAACAAAATGAATATATAAAATAGAACACCATTATCTTAAAAGTAAATACTGCACAGGGAGACTCCGCTGCCTTGGCGGATGTTAGCACCCTCTGAGTGCTTCTTGTTTATAACCTGGCCAGAACGCCTTCCAACATCAACTGATCTGATAATATCTAACTATTAATCAGCTGCCCTAAAGGTGGACCTATTACGCCTGCCTTTTTTTCCCCAGACACATAAATACTGCTGCGGTGCTAAACATGTTTAAACACCGAGGTCAGTATATGTGAAAGTAATCCCAGTAAGCCAAAAGCTCAGGCTTCAGAGAGTTTTTATCCTACTCTTTGATCTATATGATGTCAAGGAGAAGACATATCCCTATTATGGTTATCACAGCTCTGGCTGTGATCACAGAAGCTCCACCCACCAGCAAACCTGTTTATGAAGGGCAGCCAATCAGAGGAAAGTTTTCTCAAAGAGGATCTATACAGTTTGTTTCAGACACCAGAAGAGTCTCTTCCACTTACTAGAACACCTACTCCACTTGGTTTCGTTCTTTTTCCATTATAATTGAGTACCACCAAATGTGCGTGACGCCACATTTTCTACTCAGCTTGCTTGGAACCCCGGCCGAGCAGCTAGTAAAAAAGTACCCATTACCAGGTACTATCACCTAATGGAAAACCCTAAACACTGAGTCGAGTCGAGCCGACTACATACTAATGGAAAGGGGCTTTAAGAGGCTCCAACACGATTCAATATCAGGTAAATAAGGATTATTTTGAACTGTGAATCATGCAAAGCTACTCTAGTAGAGTCCAGGGTATAAACATAAAATGAAGTAAGTACTTTGATATGCAGGATTTGAGCTGTCAGCATCTAATTAGATTTTTTTTAATCCAAGCAGATTGTTGTGGTCTGCAGCAGATGTCATATAATCTCATTAATAAAGTGAATTCCAAAAAAGTCCCCTAACACACACGTTTCCAAAGACAAATGATATAAATATGAAACTACAATATTTTTTTATTTTACACCTTCAGCCTGCCAAGCTAAGGTAGTGCTGATAAAGCTACTTTCAGCTGCTGTTAGTCACCGGGAGTCACCTCCGGGAGATTTGTGTCTCTCCTGGGACTGAACCAGGCATCTCACTCATTAGACAAATGCGTAAACCTCTACACTATAGAAGCACTTAGGTTAGGCTGGTTATGACCAGAAAAAACAACAAAGAAAAATACTGACAGCTTTGACTATCAACAAGGCTGAACTAACATCCTTCCCAGGGTAACAGCTGCATGACGTTCTCTCTCAGAGGACTGTGTTTAAATTCTAAGGTCAGCCTGGGCTGACAAATGGTAAACGTCCTGCTTCTTACATAGCACGTTTCTACTCTGTGTGAGCACTTCTTAAACAACATCACTCATTTACCCACTCACACACTGGAAGAGCCAGAGATCGAACCACCAGCCGTCGGATAAATAGATCACCTCCTCTAGTCCGTAACACAAAGGAGACGTGACCACAGAGCACATGCCATACAACACGTGACCGGGATACACACACAATGATCAGTATATTACTCAGTTTCACAAAGCAAAGGCGACACACTCAAATGATGGTTCTCTGCCCAGAAATCGAAGCAGAAAATATTCAGGTGGCTTCATAAGTCGATCCACTCATCGGTAAACCTGCTGCTCACTAGTGGAATTGGAGCTGACTTCGAAAAACCCACAGATGTTCGAACTGCTGTCACGCAAGTGTTAAAAAAAACAAAAAACAACAACTCTCATTTGAGAAGCTGAAATGGAATTTTTGCCTGAAAATACGTTTTCATTTTTAATTTACAACCCTTAAGTGGGGATTTGCTGGTAACCCACAGCTCTGGGATGTTACACGGGCCATATTTTACCTTCTGAACAACTGACTGATGAAGGTTGCAGTTGTGGGACAGGGTCCCTTGTCGTGGGCTAGATTTTCTAAAAAACAGCTCAGAGGAGGTGAGGGAGTCTTGCTCCCTCTCAGACCACTTAAACTTAAAAATAGTGAAAAGTTATTACAGGTTCCTTTGTGTAATGATGCCAAAGAGATTTTTCCTTCACCAGTTTTAACTGTAAGCCGTGCCTGAGCCAGCCCACGCGCCATCAGGACCCCCAAACTGCCTCGCCTGGATTGAATTCATTCCTGCTATCACCTCTGCCACAGAATTACACCTGTGCTTTTCCCTGCTGCCACATGTCAAAAGGTCCCCCGGCTGCCTTCCCTTCAAATAGATGTGGTGTGAACCCCTGAGGTACGCTGGCTGCACTCTCACAGTGTCTGCACGGCTTTAAAAAAAAAATCCCCAAAGTGGAAGCACCAGAGAGATAATCCTCCAATGTCCCAGATCTTTACTGGGACTGAGCCCCTGGTGGGAGCCAGCGAGGGGAATTGAAGGCAGCGCCGGCCACGTTTCAATCAGAGGAAAGAGTTTGGTGATGGGGGCATGAGAAGATTTGCAGCAGTGCGGTGTCCCCCATGAATACAAAATATTACTAAGAAGTACTTTAAGCAAAGAGCTGCTTTCTGCCCTGTGAACACTGGGATATATTCCTCACTCACCGCCCTGGCCTTACAGTCTGCGTCCAGCACCATTAAGACCCAGGCACAGTTTACGGTCACATCTTTCTAAATTAGCTGATCATTCCTCTGACAGAGAGCTGGGGGATTTACACATATAAGTCATTTCGCAGGGAGAAGAAATCTCTGATTATCTGTGTGTGATTAAAAAAAAAAAAAAAAAAGAGGAATCTTGGATCTCTACCTGGACTTCTGAAAACTCTGAAGGTCAATTTTCATCACTTGCATCAACTCTAACAATGGAAAGGCCAAATCATAAGCACAGAGAATACCTGTCAGGTTAACCTCCAATGAAAACAATACTGTGTAAACACCATTATGCATCAAGTCAGGGACAAAAAGCGCCCCAGTCTTCTGTCTCACACTGGACTGCATAAAATGAGATGAGAGGTTGACTCAATTTGCATGCACTGCTTTTACTGCACATACTCAAATTCGTTCAATATTTTTGCCTCACAGTCATGCAAAGTTCAGCAGGACAGCTCCCAGATACGAAAACACGTCCTTACTGTGAACCTTTGTCTGGACCATGTGAAGCATATGTGCTGGAAGCTCTGATTGACCCAAATGCAAAACAATGGTGATGCCCACATCTATACAGGGACCTCACTCTCACACACAAGCCTGCAGTGGTCCCTGACAGGACGGGATCAGAGGCTCGGAGGGCTCCGTAAACTTACCGAGCTTTCCCCGGGACTCCTCCAGCTTCTGGATCTGGTTCTCCAGGAAGAACATGGCCACTGCGAACGCCAGCAGCGCCAGAAGCTGCAACTTGGGCGGCATCATGACTCTGAGCAGCCCCATCAAATCATCCAGAGAGAGATGATGGTCAGTCCATGCTCAGAGGAAGAGGAGGAGACACCGAAAACACACACACAGCAGCGACGATGGTGGTTACAAAGCGGCTGAGAGTGTGTGCATGGCCCTCTCTCTCTCTCTCTCTCAATCTCTCCCCCTCCGTGTGTGTGGATATCTCCCAGCGTTCAGATCCTGTGGTTACCTCAAACGCGACGTGTTCAAACTCGGCTTGGTTATTTCATTCTGTTAAATCTCGGCAGAGCGGGAGGAGGGGTCGTAGAGCCTTAGAGATTTCTCCAGAGTACGTATTTGTCCCTCCGGGATTTGTTCGCGATGGTACCAGCCGCTGTCGTCTGCGTCCCCCACACAGAGGTGTCCCGTCCCATCCAGTGTGTTCACAGCCGCACCACGGACACACTGTTACTACCACTCAGGCCATTGGGTGTATTAACAGTCCACCACACAGCTGAGATCTCCCATTCGTCGACTCTCTCTGCCTTTTCCTCTCGGATTGGACCGTTTTCCGTTGTGGGACCCAGAATTGGACACCAGGGGTCGCACTTCCATTAGCAACCATGAAATGACCGAGGTGAGGAAGAATTTCTTTAGGCTGGCTTGGTTTATGCCAAAATACAAAAAAGCATAAAATTAAAAAGAAATATTATTTTTTACTTCAAATATTTACACAATATGCTTTCTAAGCTTTTTGTATGTATTTTATCATTAAAGGTTAAAAATGATAAATAAAAGTCAGAAATGATTATCACTAACGTTTATCGGACAGGCGCGACCACGGACCGGCCTTCAGTGGAATAAAGAGGTCCTAATAGTAGTTTTCGCTAACAAAGCAGGCTCCAAAATGTCGGGAGAGGTATATCTCCTGTGGCTCCTGTCGCTGTTACAGACGGTGAGTTTATTAACTGTGAGAAATGGCAGCGCTGGCCGCTGTCACAGCTGCTTACAGTGAGTGTGAGCGGCTGCGGGGCTGTTTTTTGGCGATCTTTAGGTTCAGCTTTTAATGAGCCACATCCTGCTGCACCCGGAGCTTCAAACTGACGTGGCTTATCCTGAAAACAGCTCCGAGTCCCAGGGGAAGTGATACCTTTATAATGTGCTTGTTAGATTTTTGCTACTTATTATGTAGTTACTTTTTCGAGTCTTGTGTATTTTTAGGAGAAAGTCGATGACAAAGAGAAGACTTCCGGTGTACTAAATTTACTGTACCTGAGCGCTTCTCAGTGCCGGTGCCGTGCTGAAAAGTGATTGGTAGAATTTCAACTGTTGTAAATGATTTATTTTCTATCAAACATACATCTTATAAATGATATCCAGTCGTTTTGAGCTACAAGGAATATTTCTGTCACAAGGTAGAATCTGCAAGTTTTTATGTGCCCTTTATTTATTTGGGTACAAAAAAGCTTCATTGACATTAGCTGTCTTTTTCTTTGTAGAGAGTGAGATGTAGCCAAGATGGCAGCACAAATAGCAAGAAATATAACATATTTCTATAACGATATTAAAAATGACTGGATTGGTTATAATGTAGATCATAGAGTGGGTACAATAAAGCCGGGTCATAAAGATGCTTGTGCAACAGGTCATTTTATATAGAACTTCCTTCATAGACCCTGTTGACTGCAGTCTATTGAATAATATAAGCAAAAGCCTTTGACATAAAAACACACACAGAATCATTGGAAATGACAATCGTTTGCGCTACAACAGTTTAAAATCTTGTAGTTTATTTAGAAGATAACCTTTCATGCTAAAGTTAAAGGGAGACAATCATCAGAATGAGATCTTCCTCGACCCAAATATGAAAGTGTTTGTGGGGTGGTCGAATGTAAGAGGACACTGATGCGAAAGCGAATCACGTTTTCCTGCCGGGGGCGTCTTCAAGGAAAGCTGACAAAGTTGATTAACAAACAGCAGCCCGGTGGTCTGTTATTCACAGGCTGATTTAAGCAATCTAACCCTGAAATCTTCCACGCAGAAGACTTTTGCTACTTCAGGTTATTGTTATGTGTTTTAAACTGGTGTGTTAGGTTCTTTGGAAATCTCGTTCAAAGGCATCTGGCGTATGAAATGCGTGATTTTATGTTTGTTTCTGTTAGAGTAAATATGCATCATTTACAGTTTAAAATGATTCTTATTTTATCTTATACTGGGGGCTTGGTGGAAACCCCAGTTCATCCTTTGATGATAAAAGCCCGTCCTTTAAGCTAGCTTTCTTCTGATTGGCTGCCCCTCATAAACAAAATGTTTAATCAGCTGGTAGGTGAGCTGCTGTGCTGTAGCCAGAGCTGCTTGCCTTAGACGACCATGTTAGGGCATCCTCGCTTTATGACAGCATACCGAGCCAATAATGGAGAAAAAACCAAACAAACTGAGTGTTTGGAGCAGTGTGAAGCCTGAGCTTGAAAGTACCACACACACTGTCAGGTTGGGTGGTACTCTGTCACGTTAAGGAGACACACAGAAATATAGCATGTCACATAATTTTGCACTACGTAGGAGCTGACAGCAGGGTACAAGAGTTTCTAGCAGAGTTTCCAGTCCATTTCAGAATTCAGTTGAATATTTTATTACTCATTTTTAAGAGTCTGACGCCCACTTAAGTGAACTTTTGAGACCCTACACTTCTATCAGAGCACTGAAGTTTACAAACCATCTGCTCTTGGATATTTCTAGATCCAGGTTTAAAAGCAGAGGCGATAGAACCTTTTCACTCTTGGTTCCTAATCTTTCTAACAACTTACCTTTTCACAAAAGAGCTGCCTGCTCTTCCTATCATTTTCAAACACTTTTAAAAACCCATTTGTTCTTGCTTTGTACCCTGGTTTTTATTCTGCAAACAGTCTTGTGTACTTGTTTTATTAGATTTTTAGTGTGTACACATTGTAGTGACTGTTAAGTGTATATTTTGTATAACCTGTACAGCACTGTAGCGTGTAGCATGTTAATGTGTTTCACTATATTACACAGATAACTCAATGTTCCCTGAGTGACAGTAGTATTAATACCATTTGAGGTACTCATTTAGATTGTACTTTGGATAAAAGCTACAAATTATAATTGGTGAAGTGTATATACTTTGGTTTTACTCAATAATATAATTCAGCTTTGCCTAGAATAATAATTAATAATATATTTTCCAGTTATGTTGATATCTAAATTTGTTTTGAGATGGCATAACTGTCCTAGTACTCTAAAATCTTATATGACAAAGTACTTAATTGTTGCTAATTTGAACTTTTTAGTTGTAGTTGTGCCGTTGGAACCTAACACTTCTGTCCTTTATGAAAACATTTGTTTCTTCCTCCCTTTATCGTTGTCCTTGTACCTCCCTACAGCTGTCGGCATACGGTGCCGATCTTTCGTCTGAGGCTTGCAGGGAGCTGGGTTTCTCCAGCAACCTGCTGTGCAGTTCCTGTGACCTGCTCGGGGAGTTCAGCCTCGCCAAGCTCCAGCCTAATTGTCGGCAGTGCTGCCAGCAGGAGGCCCAGATGGACGGGCGCAAGGTAAAGAGAAAAACGGAGGGCTCACGGATCGGGTCGACAGAAAGCAACTGCCTGTCTAGATTAAGGCACAGCGTGCAGTGTGACACAAGGAGATTCAATCAGAGTAGATGAAGTGTAACCACAACTAAGGTTAAATAAAGAGCATATAGTGACATTAAAAAATTCATGTTTCTTAACTGTGGGGGTCTTGAGCTATGAATGAATGCTTAGTTTTAAAGAAGACATTTTGTTCTGTTCCTCAGTTGTTTGCAGAAGGGTTTACAGGACCTCTGTCGAAATGTGTCACGTTTACTGACAGGGTCATGTCCCTCAACGCTCGAACTGCTACTAAAAACAGCCGAGCTTTATCCAGCCTTCCGGTTGACACTGTTTGCAGCTGTGCCACACACAGCTTGTTAGTAGCTGTCCGTCTCAATCTTTCTCAGATGTTCAAAGTCGAGGCTCCTTAACCTCAGCTCGGGGTCGGCGTGTCAGGTGTTACCCTGTCTGTAAGCAGTGAGGGCAAGTTACTGTATGCTCGCTGCCCCGGATATTACAGCTTGCTTGGGAGGACTCTCTGCTGTGCTCTGGCAGATCAACACTGACTTAAGTGATGGTGGAAAAACAATGTAATTTTTCCCTGATTAAGCAGGGCCCCCAGTGCGTGCGTGCGTGCGTGCGTGTGTGCGGTATCCTAGCAACAGCACCTTGGAAATGTGCAGCACACACCTCATTACACCTCTTGATGATAACTGTGTTTCAGACAGACACTTAGAGCAGAGATTACTCCTCTTCGGCGTTGGAGTGAAAATGTCACTTAGAAGAGCAGTTGCCCATCTCTCGCTGCACTCAGAGGTCTCCGATGGAAACGACGGCGTCACTAAGCACATTTTTATCCTCAGACGGCGACAATTATCTGCCTTAAGAATTCCTTTCAGCATCTCAATTGCCATCAGCGCCGTATTGTTAAAGCCTTCGGACAAATGGCTTACTGCACAGCCTGGTCGATTAGTAAGATTCACTGAGCACGGAGGGCATTTCGCTTACTCATCTTCGAATGTGCTCTTCTCTGCAGACCACCTGGGTGCAGCAGCACTTCAGCTCCTCTGGGTGTGAATGATGTATTACATCTCTGTAGAACAGCTAAACCTTTATGAGAGTGTCTCAGACCTCTGTGGTGCACAATTGATGATGGTAACACTGGAGGCCTTAGTTTCTTGACTTGTGCTTGTTTCCAGCTCGATTTATTATTAAACTACACTAGACCACCTTTAGGAAATTCTCATTTCAAAATAATCCTCTGTCAGAGATTTACAGTTAACAAACAGTCAGGTGAATAAACAACACTGAGACACTTGATACTGATAATGTGCGGCACGGGTGAAACTCAGACAGAGAGTCACCCCGAGCTGCAGTATTCGTTTATTTTTATAGCAGAAGCAGGGTGGGACAAGCATAGCAGTTTCCTTTAATTCTGCATACGTGGGTGTATGTATCACTAAGTTCGTGTGTGTGTGTGCTAATCTCTTTCAGTAAAAGTCACAGGGTCAGCTTCCTGTTTCTACAGAAAGCTGTGTCTGGTGAAATATGTGAACATAAGCATGACATAACATTTGAAGCATAATCAAATAAAACAGTTAAAAACTCCGTGACCTCCTCATTTATATACTGCTCAAAAAAGTAAAGGAACATTTTTTTTAAATCCCTGTATAGCATCAAGTCAGTTAAACCTCTGGGATATTGATCTGCTGTTAAGTTGCTGAGGGGGTTGTTAATCAGTTTCAGCTGCTTTGGTGTTAATGAAATTAAGAGACAGGCAGTTACTCTAGGAGGGCTGGACAGGACGGTTAAAGTCCTTACCCCAGCAGCAGGACAGCGGTCTGCTTCTTTGGGCAAGGAGGAACAGGATAAGCACTGCCAAAGCTCCAAAATGACCTCTGGAGTCAAACAACTAGAAACAGACTTCATGAGGCTGTGTAGTCAAATTGGGATTTG